TCTCTCAATAAATAAACAAAAATCTTAAAATAAAATAAAAAATACAATGCACTTTGCCCTAAATACTGTATTAACTAGAGTTCAACTTCATTATGGTTCTTTTTTTTTTTTCAATAAAATTTATGTACAATGGAATGCACAATCCTAAGTGCCCTCAATGGGTTTTGACAAACGTGTGCATTCAATGAGTTTTGACAGTCTGCAAACAGGGTTCTGGGCTTGATTTTGATTGTTAAGTGAGATAATAGGCCCTGTCAGCACTCATGCAACCGCGGGAAGGTGTTGCTGTTAAGATATGGGAGGCAAAACAATCCCCGGGGGGGAGCCAGGCTGTGAGCCAAGGCTGCGGGAAGCAGAAGGTAGGTGTACCTGAGGGGCTAGGGTGAGGCCTGCATGGAGGAGGCGGCGTTAACCTGTGAGGGAAGGCTCCAGGGACTATTACAGGGAAGAGTGGAGAAGAAAATAATCAAGGAAAGTGGGGTAGAATATTCTGGAAGTCAGCAGGATGCAGCAGCACCGATGAGGAGCAGGTAAGTAAGGCTGTGGTGCTGAAAATACCGATGAGAACCGCAGACCCTTACGGAGAACTTCCCAGGCGGCAGAGACCAAGTGAATGCTAGAGGTGTCTCATCCCTCACTGTGGCCCTCCCGGGTAAGTATGGGGCGCATACTCCGTCTGTGACTTGCCTCAGATCACAGCTAGGAAGTGTCAAAGCTGGGATTCAGCCCAGGGCAGCAAAACCTCCTTGTCCTGGCTTCCCACATACACAAAGGCCAGGCCCGCGCACAGACTTCCAGCTACTCCCTGGGTCTCACCCCTGCTTCTGATTTGAGAAGACTTCTGATTAGCGCCCTGGGCGTGCAGGTGCATTTAGAGCTCCACACAAGATCCCGACATGAGGTGTGGATCCAGAGCCACCGCTCCTAAGGCACAGGTGGGCATCAGAGGAGAAGGGGAGAGGAGGCGGAGTCTGGAACGGGGGGTGCCCTCTGCTCTCCCTCCTGGGCAGCCGGGTGGGTCACATGGCCCCTGAACTCATCCCAGGGCACTCTCTCCGGCTCAGCCCGAGAGCAGCCCGCCGACCGTCCCTGTGGTCCTGCTACCTGACCACCCTGGGAGAGCAGAGTCGTGGACCCACTTCCTCCTCTGCAGCCCCCCACCCCGGGAGGGACCACGGATGCCCATGCTGACATGAACGCCTCCCAGGTGTCCCTGTTTGTCCCAGCACCTTCACCCCCCCACAGGCCGCGCTGCCTGGGGCAGAGACGCATCCCCAGCCTCCCCCTTGTCCGCCATCAATAACCAATGAGGAGGCCCGGAAGGCCTCTGACGGCGGTTTGCAGCTCCCCGGGACCGCTGCCTGCCAGGGCCAGCCCTGGCCAGTGGGAGTGTGGCCAGGCGTGCAGAGCTGCCCCCGGGGAGTCTCCCTCCCCAGGGAATGCACTCCCCACTGTTGTTATTATGTCTAGTGTTTGTGCCCTCCTCCCCTGGAATCCAAATGCCAGCAAGCCATGGAAGGGCCAATCATATTCACCTCTTATCCCCGGGGCCTCATCCTACCCCCAGCTTACAGCAGGTGCTCACTAACTAGAAGGAAAATGGAATGGATGAATGGCCCGACACTTTAACCAACATCCGCCTTACCTGTATTTGAAAAATCACATGCAGGGGTGCCTGGATGGCTCAGTCGTCAAGCGTCTCTGCCTTCGGCTCAGGTCATGATCTCGGGGTCCTGGAATCGAGCCCCGCAACGGGCTCCCTGCTCTGCGAAGAACCTGCTTCTCCCTCTCCCACTCCCCCTGCTTGTGTTCCCTCTCGCTGTGTCTCTGTCAAATAAATAAATAAAATCTTTAAAAAAAAAAAAAAAAAGAAAAATCACATGCAAATTCACACAGGGCCAGTTCTTACGGACAGAAACCTTCATGAGGCCAGAACCCCTTGTATCTGTGCTCTGTTCCAGCCATAATAAATTACCACAAACTTTACAACACAACACCAATTCATTCTCTGACAGTTCCGTAGGTCAGGAGTCCCAATTACAGCGTGGGTCCCTGGGCCAAAATGAAGGCGTCACCAGGGCTGTGCTCCTTTCTAAAGGCTCTGGGGATGAACCTGCTTCCAAGCTCATCCAGATTGTTGGCTGAATTCAGTTTTTTGCGGTCCAGGGCCTCAGCTGGGGGCCTCTCTCAGCTCCTGAAGGCCACCTGCATTCAGCCTGCTGCCCTCCCTCTCCCATCTTCAAACCAGCAACGGCAGGTGGAATCCTCCTCATTCTTCAAATCTCTGATTCATCCTTCAGCCATATCACTTCCGCCTTTAGCCAAAGGACGTTCTAGCCAAAGAACTTTTTTGTTTTTTTGTTTCTTTGTTAGAGAGAGAGAAAGCACACAGCAGGGGGAGAGGCAGAGGGAGAAGCAGGCTCACTGCTGAGCAAGGAGCCCAACTCGGGACTCGATCCCAAGACCCCGGGATCATGACCTCACACTCAGGCGTCCTGCCAAAGAATGTTTTAAGGGCTCATCTGATTAAATGCGGCCCACTCAGATAATCCAGGATAAGCTCCCTACTTTAAAGTCTATAATTACATCTGCAAAGTCCCTTTTGCCATGTAACCTCATATATTCACAGGTCCCAGGAATTGGGGTATGGACATCTTTGGGGCACCATTATTCTGCCCACCACACCTCTCCTGGGAGGAAAAAGATCCCAGAACCAGGATTTCAGGTCCAAGGCTCCTTGGTCCTGTAAACTCAGGACAGGGATTGCTCACCTGTGGGAGCCTCAGGTTCTTCATCTGTGGAATAGGGACACACTAGTACTTATGTTCAAGGACCATGGTGAAGAGCAACTACATTTATTCATGCAAAAAGCCTGGCACAAAGCATTGTCACTATTGTGATAACAAGGGCAGGGTCCACAGAGGGAGGGAGGGGGCTGGCCCCAGGGTCTGGGATCTGGTCTTCAATTTGGTAGACTCTGAAATTTCTGGTCACCCAGCGAGTCAAAGTGTTGGAGCCGGGAGTCTCTCCTGGCCTCACCAGTTCCCAAATCCTCTGTATACCAGTCGGTGCTGGCCTCTGAGAGGTCCAACCTCCATAGGCTCCATCTCTGCCACCTCTTTCAGTGGCAACCCAGGACAAGTGTCCCTCTGAGTCATGGCCAGCCGGAGGGAAAGGCTTAGATTCACAGATGATGCTTTTTAGGGAATTACCCTCCTAAGTCTTGGGAAAGGAGAAACTCTGATGTGTGCCAAGTGTGTGTGCAGACCTTGTTACATTTCCCCTTCACAGCAGCCCAGTGAGGTAGGAATGAATGATTCCCATTTCACAGCTGAGGCTAACTGAGGCCCAAAGAGGATAAGGGAGAAGGTGCAAACAAATTAGGGACTTGCGATGTTCTGGGCACAGTGCGTGGTGCTTTATGTACATCACCTTCACAAGACTCCCCGCCCCCCCAGTCCCAGTTATTTTCCTCATTTCTTGAAGAAGAAAATAGCTCAGAGAAGAGGAGAGATCTGCTCCAAGTTCAACATCTGGAAAAGGGCAAGGCCCGGAAACCCTTCCCTTTCCCACCCGACAAGGGTTCCCTCATCGCCTGTTGAGTGGGTACCCGCTTCTGTTTGCTGTTATCACCAGCCCTGGTGTGACCAGCCTGCCAAGAACAGCCCAGGTGGCCAGGGGAGGGCGGTTCATAACCCCCTCCACAGCAGAAATCTTGGGTTCTGGCGCAACTCAGGCTCCACAGAAAGCTTATCATTTCCCATCACCATGGTAACACGAACATCTCTATTCCTCTAACACATGAACGGAGCTGCTCCCCACACCACCGTCTCCCAAGCCCCCTCAAAGATTATGGATTCGATTCATTATCACCAATGCCTGCACTGGTTTTGTCGTTTTCACTTAATTCCATTTGCTGTGTCACTGAGCCCTGCCCTGGATTAGAGTGGTTATTCACCAGAACATTCGGCTGCTGGTTGCCATGGACACTCACAGCCTGCTGCATCACCTGTTAATTCTCAGCACGGCTGGCTGTGAGCATGGGTACCACTGCCCTTTATCCAGGACCCAAGGGGTATCAAAACTCCCCCAGACAAGGAGGGGGCCTGATGATGTGTGAACAAGAGCAAAATCTCTAATGCCAACCGTGGAAAAATCAAAACCAGCTCGAGATGGCCATTTATCAAATCAGTCAACAAGCGCACTATTTGGTTTTCTGGCACATCTTGGGCATGCCCTTTAGTCTCTTTGCTTACCATTTTAAGATGTATTTTTATATTGGAAAGTGGTGAATGCGTCACGCGGATCCCTTTCTCCCATGGAAAACAAAAGGAGGGAGCCTCCAAGTGCAGGGAGCCCTGGGTGGGGGGCTTGCAAGAGGCAGGGGGTAAAAGCAGACCCGAGGTGGAGGGGAGCTGCAAGCAGAACCCAACCAGCACAGAGGGCACAAGGAGGCGGGGGACGCTCAGGGTTTTCCAGGCAAGGGAGGTGAAGAGGCAACCAGGCAGAGAGAGTGGGGCCATCAGCCCATGGCCCATTGCCCCCGATAACTACCTCACGTCCTGTTTGCAGAGCCGAGCAGAGGGGACAGGGGATCAATACAGCTCTCCACATCCACACACTCCCTGCTCTTCAAACACCAATGGATGACGAAACATGCTTCCTCTGAATCCAGGGTCATTCCGTGCACCCGCTTCCCCTGCCCCCCAACGGGACGTAGTCGGAGGGCACACCAGGATTCTGACCCCAAGGACTGGGTGGGGGGCACTGTTCTGATCCCGGGGAGCCTGTCTCCCGCCTGCCCTCATACCCAGCTGAAGACCTGCCCCGACCCCACACCAGCCCCTCACTGCCATGAAGGTCAACGCCCCTCCCCCCATGTGGATGACTGACTGAATGAGTGACAGGGCAGGGCACCGGAGGGCACCGCTGATGTACCTGTGCCCACCCCCTTTTGTCTTGCTGGCCGCATGGGCGTTTGGGAGGGGCCTTGAGGGCTTTATAAGGCAGGGCAGGAGCACCAAGCAGTGCAGGGACTGGAAAGGCACCAGGCCGGCTACAGCACCGCCCACGTCCCGGCTCTGCAGGTGAGAGCACCCAGGAGGGGAGTGGAGAGGCGGGGAAGAGGGTTGATGGGACGACTCCCTGCATCAAGGTACCAGGCTCACCCCTCGGTGTCTCCAGGGCTGCCACCCTTCTCTTAGCTCAGGGCCAGACTAGGTCTCGGCCTAGAACCCACCCTGGCATCCCCAAACCATGAGCTGACTTGCCGCTTCAAACCCCTTACTCCATGTTCACCCCAGTCCTGCGAGGTGAGAAGGACAAAGGAAGGGTTGGAACTGGAATCCAAGGCTTCTGGATCCCATCTCGAGCTTTTTCCTAGACCAGCGCAGTCTGAAAGAACTTTCCACGATGATGGGGTCTCTATCTGCACCGTCCGATATGGTAGCCACCAGCCACAGGTGCACTGGGAAGGTGGCTAGCCTGGGGGAGGAGTTTTTTTTTTAAAGATTTTAATTTATTTATTTGAGAGAGAGAATGAGAGAGAGAGAGCATGAGAGGGGGGAGGGTCAGAGGGAGAAGCAGACTCCCTGCTGAGCAGGGAGCCTGAT